CCTGGGCTGCGTGAGTTTTCAAAGGTGTGTGCTTTACAGAGATCTGAGAAGCTCTGTTGTGTCATTTCCTCTCCCCTCGACATGCTTCCAAATGAGCCTTCAGCTTGTGCCATGGGTGTCTTCCCCAAGCTGGAGAAGTCCCTTGCACCCATTCTGTCTCTGGGGTAATTCTCGCTGCTCTTTCTCCCTCAGGCTTCATTTCTTATGCTTTGTTCTCTCTCTTTCCTTTCTGCTTCCTGAATCTGGGGCCTCCTCCTCGCTGTGGCCGGCTCCCTTTTGGGCAGGGAAGGCCGGATGGTGGTGTTATCTCTGGTTTTGGGACTCTCGGAACAGGACGACTTTGCCAATATACCAGATCTGCAAACCACGGGGAACCAGCAGAACCAGAACACTCAGGGGGACAAGAGGTATGAGTAAGGGAGAGGGCACTTCAGCAGCAGGAGGAGATGAGAGGGTCGGCGAAGGCTGGCACCAGCTCCTGTGGCCAGTGGGAGTGGAAGGTCGGAGCATCAGGAGGGTGGAACTTCAGGCATCCCAGGTGCTGGGCACAGTGACTTCCCCAGTCCCTGGCTCCCACTTCTGGTGTCCACACCTGCTGTGAGGAAGCTCTGGAGTGTGGCATTCGCTTCTTCCCTCACCCCGTTCTCCTTCATGTCAAATCCCCTCCCTTCTCTTGTGGGCATGCAGAGGGTGCATGTTGGGGAATGGAGAGGGGTCTGCTAGGGCTATAAAGCATCCTCAGCCTGATTAGTCCATGCCATAGAGGTAGAGGGGAAAGGGCAGGGGGAAGGGATATGAAAATGTCCCTGGAGAAAAGGAGAGAGAGGCTGACTGGGCTGAGGGAGAAAAGGGGACTTTTGCCCATGTGGGGTCACTGGGCTATGCAGAGCTTGGGAAATCCCCGTGTCCCAACACCTTAGCCCACCATAGGTAGTCTCAGAGAGGTCCCTGACTATTCAGTGTCCTGTGCAGCACATCTGGGAGGACCGAGAGCCACCACCCCCGCCCCCGCTGCCACTCCCACCCCGGTTGCAATCCTGGCCTCTATAGAAGGTAAAGGTGATTTTGCCACTGACATACTCAACTCCAGTGTTGGCTGGCAAGGGGCTCAGGGAGGCAGAGGGTGAGGAAAGGCCAGTGAAGAGGAGTATATGTCTCGGATTCCATCCTTGTGCAAACACTGAGGCAGTTGTACATTAGATCCAGGGAGACCACCTCTGCTGAACGTGGATAGCACATGCCCTAGAGCCACCGTGTTGGCCCTTAACCTGTGTTTTGAGAAGTAGCCTGCATTTCCCTGCATCCTGGTGCCTTGGGGTTTCCTCCAAAATGGGAAGATATTCCCCGCAGGTCTAGGGAGGAGCTTTTCTTTCTGCTTATTGCCAATAGCACTGCCCTAAACCCTGCCTACCGCCATGCCTACCTGGAGAGGGAACAGCAGGCTCAGAAGTAGACCCCGAGAGTCTGGGGAGTGAAGCCCCTTTCCGCCATTATGGACTAGCTGCTGCTTTGTACACAAGGGCAGCTCTGTCAGTGTATCCCACACTCTGCCAGCCCAGCAGCTCAAGCAAGCACCTCAGCCCTGCCCATAACCCTGGGGATTGTCTGCCTCAACCACACACAGAAAAGTAGACCTGGAAAGGGCTTTTTGAGGTAATCTAGTCCAATCCTCTGCAAATGGGGGGTTTGATTAGATGACCATCTCAGCCAAGTATCTGTCTTACATGTGCTAAACCATCCCAGCCAAGTATCTGTCTTACATGCACTTAAAAGCTCCCAGGATGGAGATTCCACAGCCCCTCTAGTTAGCCTGCTCCAATGCTCAGCCACCCTTATAGTAAGAAAGTTCTTACTAGCATCCAACCTAAATCTCCCTTGTTGCAATTTAAGACCTTTTTTCTATGTCCTCTCCCCTGTGGCCACATAGAACAGTCTATCGCCATCCTCTTTATAACCTTCCTTCTTGTATTTGAAGGCTGTTATCAAATACCCACTCAGTCTTTTCTTCACCAGATTAAATAATCCCTCTTCTTCCAACCTCTGCTTGTAAGTCATGCTTTCTAGACCTCTGCTCAGCTGATAAGCACAGCTCTGCTAATATCCCCTCCTGTGCTGAATGCTCCAGCACAACCAACCAGACCACACAGCCAGGGCTGCCTGTAGGCTGCCGAGGGTATCCAGCATGGTTGTTCATGTCCCAAACCACCCAAGTCCAGGCCTCAATAATGGAGCCAACCCCTGAATTCGGACAGCAACAGTCTATACTGCCCCATGTTACTCTAGGGACATTTATTCAAAAGGAGAGGTGGGGGAAAGAATCTCATGAAAGTGAGGTCTGTCTGGCCTCTTCATTGGGGCCTGCCCCTGCTAACTCAGCCCTGTGGCCCTGCCAGCCCAAAGGGCCATTATGTATCCTATAGGGCTGCCAGAGCCCCAGCCAGGCCAGTGCCCACAGCTGAGACTGCCACACAGCTCTGATGACACCCACTAATGTCTGATAGCAATAGAGGTTGGACTCATCTCCCAGCACCTCTGAGCAGGCTCCAAAAGGCAGTTCAGAGCTTCTTTCGCAGACACAGGTCCCTGAGCCCACACTTTCACATTTGGGAGCCAAATCTGTAGTTGGGGTGAAACAAAGCGGCTTCCCTGCCTTTCAGATCCAGTGATCCTGGGTTAGATCTCTCTGGAGCACCCAGCTAAGGGCCCTCAAGGTTCAGTAGGAACCTGTGCTCATGAGTGAAGTGGGAGGGTGTAGCTCAGGTGACACATGGCCTTCTAGCAAGAGCATACTCAGCTCAGCCCCCTCAGAGGCCTCTCTGCCCCTGGAGTCCAGGGAGCACGTTCCTGGGCATTCCTCTGAAATCTTGATGACTCCTGTGCTCCCCAGTCCAGCCCCATTCCTCACCTCCCACCTCTGGGTGATACCTTCCCTGCCCCACCTGGGCTCCCCATATCACACTACATCCTGCTCAGCCACTGTGAGCCCTTGGGGCCTAAGGCTGCCTTCACGCCAGTGCCGCTTCCCTAACAGGTGTGAAGTCAGCCTGGGTCACGCCAGCGAGGGAGGCGACCAGGCGCTAGCTTTGGTCTACAGTGAGCCTTGGCAATCAGGTCTGCTCAGCACGGCCCTGGCTGGACAGGGCTCAGCATCATGCCAGGGGTCTTGGCATCATGCCTCCCCTTCCGTTCTCTGATCAGCCAAGCCAGGAATCCTGAGGGGACACACCCACCCCCTGTGGGCATCACTCCCAATCCCCCCACTCCTGGGCACAGGACCAAGATATGCAGCCAGCAAATCTGTTGGTGTCTTTATGCCCTGCTGGTGCTCCCCAGTGGATACTTGCACCTGGGTTTGTAGGGAGGGAATGGTGGTATGCCAGCCCCCTGCCCCTTGTTCTTGTGCCACCTGTTTCCCTTAGCAAAAAGGGCCCTGGCAAAAGGCATAGGGTAGGGGTGGGCAAAATGCAGCCAGCGGGCTGGATGCGGCCCACCAAGCCATTCTATCTGGGCCGCGGGTCCCCTAAAAAATTTAGAAAATTAATATTTATCTGTCCTTGGTTCCTGTCATGTGGCCCTCAATGGCCTGCCAAAACTCAGTAAGTGGCCCTCTGCCTGAAATAATTGCCTGCCCCTGGAATAGGGGGAGAGGGGGAAGGGAGGACCTGGCTGGAGGCTTAGAGGTCTCAAACCCTTGGGAGAGTGTGTTAAATTCCATCTCGAGCTGCAAGGAGGTGTGAAGAAGGCAGGAGATGGTTCCACATGATCAGTGTGTTAATTAGCTGGCACTGTTCTCACCCACAGCCTATTTTTACCTCGCTCTGGTTCTGTTTCACTACATATTTTAGCACTTCCCTTTTGATCACCAGCTCGTACAGTCTGTCCCAGCCTGACACGCGACAGCGGTGGGCACAGACCGTCCTGCTGAGATGACCACAGCTGTAGCCTGCACAGAGCACCTGGTCTTGGTGCACACCCCTTCTGCAGGCCTCACCCCCTGAGCTGACACCCCCACTCCAGGCTGTCAGGGAACCTCAGTGCTGTCCCAAAGAGAAAGTCCTTGCTGAAGACCCAGCATACCTCCCACTCCCTTGATTTTAGGGGAAGTGCCTTCCCTAGGGTTACTGTCCTTCTGGCTGTGTTGAGAGCACCCTCTGGTGGCCCTCGGGACACACTTACCTTCCTCATAGCCACAGTCCTCAGGATGGTCTAGATCTGTGTGTGGCTAAATTGAAACAAAAGTAGCCACATGCACCTCTTCATCCCAGATAGACAGTGAAAGGCAGCTGGTGGAGCATGCATGGGGAAAAAATGCTGCAATGAACAAAAAATGGGAGCAAGGTCTCTGTGTGTGTATGTGTGCGCACAGGCGTGTGTGCACATGTGCTTGTGTCTGTGTCTAAACCCCAGTGACAATTCCCCTTGCCCCAGGAAGGATCCATTGGTGTATTTGTGTGTGTGTGCACATGCATGCACACAAACCCTGGCACATCTGCCCTCTTAGCCTGAACAGGCCTGCAAGTGTACGTAGGAGCCTCTTCCCAGGATAGCAGACCCTGATCCTGGCCTTGGGCTTGTAACTTTAGGGTGAGGATGAAGAGGACTTGACTTCCTCCAGTAAAAAGTGACTAGGCCCTTGGGACTCTGGTCTGAGGGAAGAGAGTAATGCCAGCAGGGGCCACTGCCCAGTCGTGCAGCTTGTGCTTTCCTTGCACCTATGATATCCAAAAATCTCCTCATAAAAGACGAGGTTCAGGCAGGGAGAGGGAGAGAGCCACGCCGTCCCCTTATTCTCCCCAGGGCCATTCCTCAGCACTGTTAAGTATCAAGGGTGAGTGTCATGTACTCTGGCACCCATGAACCAATGCAGCCCAGGCCCAGGAAGGAGGGCCCAGCTCTGGGACCTTCTGACTTCAGTCCACTGATCCAGGGTCCTTTAATGTACTATCATCCTGCTGGGGACATAGGAACATAAGCATTTCTGTTTATGGGGTCAGACCATAGGTCCATCTTGCCTGGTATCCCATCATGCCCACTATGTCACACAGTGGCAGAGAGAGGATGCTGAGAGTATGGGCATGACCCAGAGTTTTCCCACTGTTCCTCTCTCACTTGCAGCCTCCAGCATTTAAGGTCTAGGAAGTTCTGGGAAGAACCAGCCAGGTGAGGATAGAGGCTCTGCCAGTCCTGAAAGCAAACAGAAAGCTTGTGGGGGTGAGGGCATTATAGGGAAGGGGAGAGGGCCAGGGTGGGGGTCCCTCTGGAGCAGGAGTTTGTGGGGAGGTGATCAGGTCTGTGCCCTCAGTCCTCACCCTCTGGAGCAAGTGTGCACCTCTCCCCCTCCTCCCCTTCCTCACTTCCCCTCAGCTCGTCCCTCCACACCCTGTCTCACCAAGAAAAGCCCAGCGACTCCTGCCCTTCTCCTTGCTTTTGGCCTCTGCTGTCTCTCTGGCCCCCATCTTCTCATCCATTCCTAACAACCCCAGGTCCTCAGTGCTTCTAGCTCCCTCCCTGTTTCCCCCATGCCCACCTACCTTTGTCTTTTATTTCCTTCACACTTCCGTCTCCCAACTTTTTACAACCCATGGCCCCCCTTTTTCCCCCAACTTCTCTCCCTTCCACCCCTGTGGAGTTAGGTGGGTTTAGCTGCTGGAGGCTGGGAGGGTGGCAAGGGAAGGACTAACACAGGAAGGACTAGCACAGATTGCTCCAAGGTTTGTAGGTGGCTTGAAGACCCTCTCTCTCTCTCTTTTTCTCTCTCTCTTCCATTATCCCCCACACCAGCACTCCTGTTTGCAGTGACCATGTGGTGTTGTAATGTCTCCTCCGTTCCCTTTTCTCTGCTTCTTCCTTCCAGCCCTGCTGCTGCTGCTCAGCCTTTCCCCTCTGTCAGCCCCAGCGACGCCAGTCCAATGCCTTGTTCTGTCGGTGTGGTGGCTGCTTCTTGTTTACTAATCTTTCTCTCTCTCTCTTTTTCTGTCCTTCTCCCTCTCCTCCCACTTTTTCTGCACTTTCCCTTTCCTCAGGAGGCAGGCCGGGTCCCTATACTGGAAGACATTCCTCCTCCCTTGTCTCTCTCTAACTCTGCCCCTCGCTGTCCTGTGACCTCTGCCGGTGCTAACCATTTCCCAGACAGCTTTGCAGCCGCTGCAGCACATTGGGGTTGAGAAAATAACTCTGAAACCGTTCCTGCCTCCAGCAGTCAATCACATGCTCACTCTTGCTCTCTCTCACTTTGTTTTTAACCTGACTTTACCTCTCCAGCTCTTTCCGTCTCCTTTATTGCTGTGTGTGCCAGGCTGTTTGCAAGTGTTTGAGGGTGTCTAGATTGTGTGTGTGTGTGTACATGCTTGTGCAAGTCTGTAAGTGTCTGTGTCAGCTTGGTGTGCACAACTCTGTGAGCATGTCTACAGCGGTGTGTTTCTGTCACTCGGTGGGTGTATCAGCGTGTCTAGAATTACATGTGTACATGGGTCATTCTGCCTACAGTTGTAATGACATGTCTAGATCTGTGTGTGTATCTGGTTGTGTTTGCAAGAGTCATGGCATATCTACAGCTCACTCTCTCTGTCGATCTATGCAGATACTGGCATGTACAGATTTTGCATGTGTCGCTGTGTGTGTATGTGTTTGTGACCCTGTCTGCAAATGTGTCCTTGGGAAGGTGTTTCTGTAGGTACATTGGGACTGTATGTGCTCATCGGTGTGCATGCATCCTTCTTTGTTGGGTATCTGGGGTTAGTGTGTATCTCTACATTATCCTACATGTATACACCATGTATGTTTCTGTGTATACGACCCTCTGTGCATATGTGAGTGTATGTGTGTATCCTGTGCATCTATATGCACCTCTGTGTGCGTCTCCAGGCGTGTCTGTCTATGTGGGTCTGTCAGTTGCTCCATTGCTGCTCTCTTTCTGTGTGCACATGACAACATGTGGGCCTATGTCTCTCCTCTCTGCCTTTTCCAGCTCCCTGCCAGCTCCTGCCCCCTCTCCCGCTGGGTTGCTCCTTGCTGCCAATCTCACATGTGTTGCTTGTCTGGAAGTGTCAGGCACTGAGTTGTAGCTGCCAGGGCCTCACTGTGCTCCTCCTCCCAAGCAGCACTGTTAGCTGCCTCCAGCCCTTGTCACTGAGAGGGCTGGTGGGGGCAAGCAGGGCTGGGGCCTCCTTTTTTTGTCACACAGTTGTGTGTGCATGCGTGTATTGGGTGTGTAAATGAGTGCTGTGGCCAGGGGAACCTGGACTCCTGGCCTGGAGACATGGCACCATCCCTGAGGGCAGGAAGGCAAGGGGATGCTTTGGTGTCCCTCTGAGATGCAGCCCTCCCACCTGTGGGGGATCTCACTGCCTAGATGATGGGGGGAATGCCTTGTGCGGTCCAGTCACTCTCCCAGACTGACATAGTCCCACCTCATCAGTAGGAACAAGAAGGATCATTGGACCAGAAGCCTGGGAAGGAAGAACAGTGATCTGGCTTGTGTGCTCTGCCCAGCTTTCTTGCCTTGCAACCTTTCCATGGCTTCCCAGTGGGAAGGGAGAAAGGGGCAGTGGGCTAAGCTGTTTCCACGTGCAGCCAGCACTTCTTGGAAGTGAATTCTTCCTGGGTATGGGAGAAGGATGCCCAGATGGGCAGGAGAAGGCCTGCTGACAAGGCAAGAGCTACAGCCTCTCAATGCATGGGTGAAACCCCCATCACTCATTCCCCTTGTGGGCATGTGAGTCACAGCCGCTCTTGCTGAGGCTCCCACAAGGGACTTGGTGGGCCTGCCAGAGGTGCCGCCACCTGGCAACATCCTCCAGTGCCACAAGTAGAAGCAGCCCACAGAGTAGGAACTACGCTATATAGGTGAGGCACTAGATCTGCCACAACCTGGCTGGTAGGTGATAGGCCATAATGGATCTCCCATGGTCTGGCTGGTAGGTCACAGGCTGCTATGGGGCTGCAATGCTGCTGACCTGGTCTGCCACCTTGGGGAAAGTTTCCCCGAAGGGGTCCTATGGGAGAAGGTGTGAGTGTGGGCTGGAGAGGTGGGAAGGGGGAATCAGCTGGTATCCCATTCTCTTTGAGTACTTTCTCAGCCAGGACATGGGGCCAAAGTGCCATTGGATGATACACCTGAGCACCCACTGAAAGGGTAGGAAACAGGATGGGAAGGAGGGTGAGTAACAAAGGCCTCTGTAGAGCCAGAGCAAGACAGAGGCCATAGCAAAAGGGCACTGGTGTGGTGGCAAGTGTGATACAAACCACCTGCCTGAGGGGTGGGCATGAGTCAGGGGTGGTAAGAGATGCAAGAGCAACTCCACATGTTGGGACAGCCATCCAGGGGCCATGAGAGGCACAGGAGCTGCTCTGGGGGTCCCTATTGGGCATTGGGATCTTTTTTGCAGGACCCAGGCAATGTTCTGGACAGGCCTGTCCCAGTCTCAGCTAGCTCTCTGCCCCTCTCTATCACACTGCCTCTCTCTCCCAGGTTACCACCCACTGGCAAGACAGCAAATGCAGCTCCCGCACCTGGGCAGACACAGCATGATGAGTCTGACCGCAAAACAGAGCCTCGTTCCTCCGTCTCAGACCTGGTGAACTCCCTGACCAGCGAGATGCTAATGGTGAGTGCAGGCAGGAACACCCAGAGCCCCAGCCTCAAGGCATGGCAGGTCCTCTGGTACTGACTTGCTCTATTCCTACTGTGTAAAGCTGGGGCTGGGGCAGCCCGAGTTTCCTCCACAGTCAGTGCCTGTTCCACTGCCTTCTCCTGGCTACATCTGTTGAACACCAGTCCTTCCCAAAGCTCCAGGCCTCAGGGCTGATGCTGTAGACGGTGTCCTGGGTCCCTACCAGCTGGTGGGCTTGCCAGGCCATTCCAGCTTTCCTTTGTTTCCTTCAGGGGCTCTGACCAAGATTCCCCAAGCCCCCAGATTCTGCAGGGTGATTGGTAGGACATTCCAGACACCTACTTCATCCTGAACTGTTCTAGACCACCCCTCTCCACCGCCTGCTTTCCCTTCAGGGGCAGTGATCAGCTCATGTATGGTTGGAGGGTATTCATGCAGATATTCCAGGTTGCTGTTCAAGTCAGAGCTGGCACTCATACTTTTCCCAGTGGGCAACCAGAGCAACTGTGTTACCCAGACCCATTTCCCTAGAGTCTACTATTCCAGGACCCACATTCTGTCAGCATAGACCCTGGCTCTGAGCCCCAGGTACACACCCCCACACACCAACAGGGAAGCGTGAGACAAGTTTGGACTCTTTCCTACTTTTCACTGGTGTGGAAAGGAGGATAGTCCTAGCAAAAGCTCATCCCTCCTTCAGAGTTTTCCCAGCTGTTGGGGTGTCTTTGGACTGAGCATTACCCCAGATAGCCTAGCAGCAGCTGCTTGTCACAGAGTCAGGCCACACAGCTGTATTGGTGACCTTGACTCTGCACCCTGAGCTCTGCCAAGCCCCAGATCCCATTCTGCTCCTTGCTGGGGGGGGAGACCAGGATGTAGTGGATGGGACTGAGCTGGTTCTGGCTCCCATCCAGCACAGATCAAATGAACAAGCAAACTTCCTGTGCAGCTCAGAGCTGAAAACTTAGCAAGTTGGAGGAGACAGGATGAAAGAGAGAGAGAAAGACACCTGTCTGAGGAGGGCTGAATGGGAGCTTTGCAGTGCAATGGGTTGAGGGGGGACAGCACAGAGGAGTCTGACGCACACTAGCTGCTTTCCTCAGGCATGGGTCCCTTGCAGAGCTTTGAGAGGGGAGCTGTAGCTTTTGGAATGAGCATTTTCTTTTAGAATCAAAGGGCTGCCCATGCCCTGCTCCAGGCAGAAGTATACCCATCTAAACCGGCCTAAATGAAGCCCTCATCAATAGAGACGAGCAGCCTGGGTTGAGAGCTCCACACCCCCACACCATCAATCGTGAGCATTCCAGAATCACGAGGCAGCCCTGCCGCCCCCATCATAAGATTGGCTTCAAATGCACAAGATGTTTAAAAGAATACTGTGTAGGTTCACTTTATTTGCTGTTGGGGCTCAGAGCAGTTGGGGAATATCACGTTTGCATTCTTTTCTCTGCAACCAGGAAGGCTAGAAACTGTTTAGTAAGTGTGTATGAGGGGAGGAGGGTGTATTATTTTTCTTTAACAAAGGTTGAGATCTGCTGAGGTTCCCATGACTCCAGGAGATGGGGCTTTAAGGAATCCACTGCCTATTATGAGACCCTGGAGGGGATTGCAGTGCTAAAACTGGGAGGAGTCACTGCCACAGGAAAGAGGCTAGCTAAAAGTACAGGCAGGAAATCACCACTTGGTGGGGCAAAAGATGCAGATATGTATTGGAGGGGAAAGGAATCCAGAGCAGGGATGTTCCATGGGATACCTGAGAAGCTGAGCTAAGAGAGGCTAGGGAAGCAGTTGGGTGGCTGTACCCCCATTGAGCTGGTACTTGAAGCATTGTGTGTTACCATGACAATGCTGTGGTGTTTCATTGCTGTGAAACACCCTGACAATATCAAGCAGAGGATTGTTGCATGGGCAGGGATCAAGGGCATCGCCCAATGCCTAAACAAGCCACTTGAAAGATTCAGTGGACTCTGGATTGTGTCCTAAGCAAAGGTCAGTGTGTCTTGGTATTTGTCCGCTGAAGTGAAGACACCTCTGTCTCCGTGGTGTCTGGACTGAGATGGTAAGGAGTGTCGAATTGCAGGGGTGAGAACTGGAGTTCTCCAAGGAAAGCGGAAGTTTTGAAGTAGTAGAGTCTGAACAAGCATGGTATGGAAGAGAGAGGACAAATGGCAAGGGTCTAGGGAGATTGGCTGGGGAAGCATGGAATAGTTCACAGTGAAAGGTGAGCCTGTGGGAAAAGAGTTATGCCATCTTTGTGCCAGATTGGGATGGAGGCTTGCATTTCTATCCCCAGCTCTGATGCCTGTGCTCAAAGTGAATCACCCCATCTTTCTTGGTCTTGGTTTCCTGTCTGCAAGCCAAGGAAACCATCCTTTGACTATTGAATTTCCAGGTGGTTTCAGGCAGGGGCAGGAGTGCTTGTCCCACACCCTGTACAACAGGATACTGACTGTATAAGACTTGATGGGATCTGGGTCATGGCATCCAGTCCCTGCTGTCACAGGCATTGCATCACAGAATCTTGCTCACACATATATTGAGCTCCAGTATAAAAACCAATCCCTGCTACTCCTGTTGAAAGGCTGTTCTGCAACCTCCCTCTTCTGATTGTCTGAAACCTTCTTCTCTGAATTTATTCATGGCCTGTTTATATCCATTTGTCCTCATGCCAATGATATCCCTTTGCTTTCAGAGCTCTTCTTCCTCCCTAGTGATTACCCCTCTCATATATTTATAGTCACCAATCATAGCCTCTCTCAGTTTCCATCTTGTCAGGCTAAACAATCCAAGCTCTTCTCACCACCTCTGGTACGATAGGCTTTCCATTCCCATCATCATCCCATAGCTCTGCTCGGCCCCTTTCCCAGTTGAAGTCACCTCCTTTGAATGTGTGTGGTCAGTGTTGTACACAGCATTCCAGTGCCTTGTTCAATGACACTAACATTTCCCTATCTCTGCTGGAGAAAGGGACCAAAACAGCACACCTGATACATCTCTAGGATGACATTTGCCTTTTTCATGGTTACGCCATATTGGTGGCTCATAGTTATCCTGTAGTTGACTCATATATCTGGGTCAGCCTCCTACTTGGCTATTCCAAATTGATAAATCCTGTTTATGGCAAAATTCTCATTATTAATCCTCAATCACATGACCTTTGCCCTTGGTAGTATTAAATGTAATCCCATTTCTATTACCCCAGTCCTCAAAGTCATCTGGTTCTTCTTGCATGATATTCCAGTCCTCCTCCAGATTATCAGTGCCTCCCAGTTTATGTCACAAACTCTATCTACTAGCATACTTCCACTTTTTGTGCCAAGGAAGGTCACAAATGAAAATATCAAATCACAGTCCTAAAACCTTTCCAAGGGCTGCACTAATAACCCCTTCCAGCCCAATAGTTCCCCTTCAGTACAACCCAGGGTTTTCTCCCTTTTAATCAGCTCCTTACCTGCTGTCCAGCTCTTGTACTAAACCTCATCTTCTTTGGTTTGCGTAATCATTTCCCATGTGGCACCATATCAAATGCTGTACTAAAGTCCAGGGCGATTAGATCTGCTGCATTTCTCTCGTCTAGAAAATCCATTATCTTATCATGGAAAGCTATCAGGTTAGTCTGGTGTGATCTACGTTCATAAGCCCATGTTGCATTTTATCCCATTTTCCTGATATCTCCACATCTTTATCTTTTCTTTAAATTTGTCAGTTCTCTGTTTACTCCTTCATATCTGTGTCTGGGAGCTCTTCAGTCTTGTCAATCTTGCTAACTAGTTCCCTTAATTTCTCAGCGTGCCCTTGTGGAATCAAAAGCCTTTTCTATGGGCTGAATTTTGTTTACCCTTCTTTTTAATTTAAGCTGAATCAACTCATGATCACTTGACCTGCAGTTATTTTCTGTGACCAGCTCTTACAAAGTCCTCACTAGGCTCTGTCTAACCAGCTCAGCGATTACTTGGGGAAGACAACAGTTAGCTATATCACATCCAGGAAGCTCTGGGTGATCCTATTATGAGGAGCATATTTTCTCTGATCTGTATCTGGGAAGTTAGAGTTTCTCCTAATGACACAATTCCTGGTAGTGCTTTTTCTCTCTGATAATACCACAGCGATCTCTACCCATCTCCAAATCCCACCCTGGGGATCCTAGTAAGTGATCAAGCTCCATCTTAAAATTAATTAGGCTTGTTCCTCTGCTCCTCCTGTTGGGAGGCGGCTCTAAAACCTCCATGCTCCGATGATTAGAAACCTTCTTCTAATTTCAGCACTCAGTCAGGGCCTCGAGGGACAGCCAGAACGCTGGAAACACAACTTCAAAAACGGGCTTGTTGCAGCAGAAAAAAAAACCTGACATGTTTTTGGCTGTAAAAAAACATTTCAAAGGCAGCTGTGAGCAGTTCAGAACTCTGACTGGAAAGGTGAATTTTTCCAGGGCGGAAAAAGTAAAAGGCGCTTTGTCAGGTTTTGTGGAACTGAGGGGGAACAAAATGCCCTGCTGCACGTGGGCTGCCTTGTCCTCAGGGAAAGTCCCAGTTTCATAACTAAGCATTATTGCAAGAGGCATTTGCTATTGGAGAATGTGGCATCGTGTGGCTCCCCCAAGTGGCACAGCAGGGAGGATCTGAGCCAGAGACCAAGGCCCAGTGCTTCCAGAGGGTTTGGCCAAATACTCATTTGACATGCTGGCTTCCCATTGAAATGAACATGCATTTGGCTCCAAAGTGCATTTGAGGATGAGGGCCCCAGGTATCCTCTTCCTGTGTTCGGGAGTACAAAGAGATTGGGGATGAGCTACAAAGAGAAGCAAAATGTCCAGCAAACAAGAGATGCACATCCTGGAGACCCCAGCCCTCAGGGACAGTTAGCCAGCCCCTTCACACTGCTCTGCCCGGGAGTCACTGCATCTTCCAGTCACTCCCATTGTCTGAATGAGACAATAGGAGGTGAGGAGTCAGGTGTACCCCACCTTAATATGCAGCAATACTTAGCAGTGAGAG